ATTCGATTACATATTTAATTCGCAAAATCAAAATCAGATTTCATACTAAATTAGATTACATATAAAGTTCGCAAAATTGAATTCAAACTGGATGTCATTTAAATTTTTAAATTTCGTAAATTCAATTTTTATAATTTTTATATTGAGCATAGACGTATTGAAGTACGTCCATTTGAAAATCTAGGCGGCTCTCTTCTGGGACCTTCTCAAACACTTCGCCAATCGCACCCAAGAAATTGTTGTGTGTTTTTTTTTGACTATCCACAAACTGACTTACTTCGTTGACTAGATCGTTAAAGGCGGCGTTCTCATCGTTTTTTTTCTTTTGTCTCTTAGCCGGCGTTGGGGCAGTGGTTTCTTGCTCTTCTATTATAATGTTCCCACTCTCGCCTATTTGGAATCCAAAGGAAGTATCCAGTATATCTGGTTCTTGTCCGAGAACTTCTGGCGTTTGGGAGACGATGTTTGTTGTTGTCCTTAAAATATGTACATATAAATTACAATTTAAAATATAAATACTTGTTGTACAAATGTAAAGTACACTTACTGTCTGGGCGTGACCGTGTCTTTCAAAAACGACGCAGCACTTCCGCTAGGTTGTTGATCAACCTTCAATTCTATTCCATATCGGTCTCTTAACGATTTCCATCGCTTTCGGCAGTTTTCCTCTGTAAAGTAAAAATATAGTATTCGTCACAATTATTCGTCACAAATTTGTTATAATTTGGTTCGTCCTATTACAAAACTGCTATATGTTTGAAAAACTCTATACTAACCAGGATGTCCCACAGCAGCAGCTACATTTCGCCAAGCCAAATCTTTCTTCACCCGATCGCGGTAACTAAGCTGTCGTTTGTCCCACAAGCAGTTGTGTTTTTTCAATCTCTGCTATAAGTTTTTCTTCGAACATCTTGCACTAAAGCTTCCGATATACCAACCAACACACAAGAATCGGATAATACAGCAGCCGGAACGATAAAAAAGTAAGGTATCTGTAAAAAATATTGTTGTTAGCAACAAATAATATTATTAATAACAAATAATTGTTTAATATAAACTCTTTTACCTCCAGTTGAATAATACGCCTTATAAACACGGGTGGAAGTGGCACAGGCAAATGAAACTTTATGAAAACCAACGAATCTGGTGGCCGGAACGATAAAAAGCAAGGTATCTGAAAAAAATAATGTTGTTAGCAACAAATAATTGTTTAATATAAATTATTTTACCTAAAATTGATGAAGAACGCGATAAAAACTGCACACAAGCAAAATCGACGCGAAAAATTGAAATGTCAAGAGTTGTCAAAAGCCTACAGCGCGCTGTCAAATAGAGATTTCGGCTAATCGATACTTTAAAGCGCTTCAAGCAAGTGAAGTAAAGCTGCCACTAGGCCAACTTTCATACATTTTAGTAGATTTTAAAAATTGTTTGACAGTTCTCAAAGCCAAGCAAGCAAAGCAAGCGTGCATTGGGCCAATACCTTTAGTCTTTGCTTGATCGAACTAGCTGTGTATTCAACTGTAAGCTGACGCTTAATGCCACATGATTTGAGATTTTGTGGAAACTCACAGCTTATAAGGTCAGATGCATTATCAGAACGGACTGACTTATTTTTCCTGCCTGTTTCCAACTCAACTTGCTTTTTAAAATCTTTGAAAATTTGTAAGTATTCACTGTTCTTGCTTAAAAATCGCACAAATACCTTGCGAGTGAAATCATCAATAAAACTTACAAAATATATTTTATGACTTAGCGACTTATCCCTCATCGGCCTGCACATATCAGTGTGCAGTAGTAGATTTTTCATTCTTATGTCGAAATGGTTCTTGCGTCTGTTTTCTTCGAATACAACCAATGCAGTTTAGCTTTCGTGCCATGTTTCCAGTTCAGTAAGAGCACAATCTACTGCTTTACATTTTTCATTGATAGATTTCTTGGATCTCACCAAATATAAGCCATTTTCTTTATAAGCTTCAACCATTGTGCAAACATACTTCGTTATCAATGCTTTTCGTTTTAGCATTATTACTTGGCAACCATTTTCGGTAGCTTTACCAGTTGATATAAGATGGCATTTAAAATCTGGTACGTATAAGGTTTTGAAAAGATGTAACTTTATATTTCTCATTTACTTTGATATTAATTTCAACTGTACCAGTTCCTCTGACTTCTAATTCTTTTTCGTTAGCTAAGTATATTGTTCCAGTAAGGCTTTCATCAATTTTAACAAATTGTGATAGCGAGAAACTCATGTGTGCTGAGTTTTCTGTAAAAATATTTTGCTCTCTTTTTACAAATTTGCAATTTTCCGCCATGTGTCCCTTTTTACCACATTTATAACAACCGGATGGGAAATTCTCGTATGATGTACCTGGAGGATTTCCTTGATAACTGGTCTTAGGGTCAGTTTTTCAGTGCACGGCCGTGGTTTAAACTAAGATTAGCCAATCAAATGTCAGCTAGCTGTTCAATTTAAACTCAGTTTACTTAAACTAATTTTAAACAGGCACTGAAAAACTGGTCCTTAAACTTGTTACCTTGTTTCTTTAACTTGTTCGCCTTCAGCCGTTATCTTGATCACTTGAATTATATTCAGATTCTCACCGATTTCGTCGAGTCTTGATCGTAAAGTTCTGAGAGAAGGAAACTCGCTAGCACTGCAGCCCTTATTTCTTTATATGCATCCGATAGACCATCTATTAAAATAATTGTTAGAAAATCTTCATCGAAATTAACATTCATTTCATTTAGAAATGAAATACATATATAAAATTCTATACGATACGGCGTAATCGTCTGATGATTCTCCATAATCAAACCCAGCAACTTACGATAAGCTTCCGCTTTGCGACACGTCGACTTCCGCTCATAAGTATCTTGTAAGTATAACCATACCTCATTTGCAGCTTTAAAACTTTTAACCATTCTAATGATACTTGCATCCAGTGCACTGATTAATTCAGCTTTGGCATCCATATCCTTGTCATCATGTTCTGCTTGCAATTGCTTCTGTTTCGCCAGAGTTGCTTGTTGCTCCGCCGTCGCCGAATCCGAAACACCTTGTACGGCAGGCCTTTGCTCTTCGCCAAGCACCATCTTCAGCAATCTGTTCTTGTGAAGAATTGCCTCCATTTGAGGTTTTCATGTAGCGTGATTCACCCCGTTTAGCAGCGGGATCCGGCCGTTCAGTGTCGCCATTATATCACGAGCAATTCGTTCAAACTTGCTCCGAAAAATCACAAGCTGACTTTTACTAGCATATTGGGTAATTCTCTAGGGTGGGGTAACAACCCCTAAAAAAGGTGCGGAAAAGTCGGGAGGGGTACCAAACGACGCGTTTCGGCCCCCCTAATAACAATCCGGAGGGGGGCGGATAAGATTATTAACCATTTAAAAGTTATGAACAAAAAACTTTTGTTAAATTTCGTTGTTTTCTATGGGCAATTACGCCGACAAAGATTCACTAAATCACCTGTTCTCACTTTTTAAACACTATTGAAATATATAATTTAAATTATTTATTAAAGAAACACATAGTTTTATCAACCTAAGATAGACTATTTTGTTATTAAAAAGAAGTTGACAATCTTTGCCAGCTGAAACGAGATTCCAAAATAGCTATAGTGCTGCCACTGTATTAGTATTTCGTAATAATTAACTTTTCCTTATGAGATGTGTGCACTGTTCAATGCTTTTCGGTATCTTCTTTCGTTTAATATATATATAAATAATGAAAATTTTTAATAAAAAATCGCGCGATTTTTTATTAAAAATTTTCGCCTGCATCGCTTTTTCCATAAAAATCAATACTTCGATAAATAATGAAAATTTTTAATAAAATATCTCGCGATTTTTTATAAAAAATTTTCGCCTGCGCCGCTTTTTCCATAAAAATCAATACTTCAATAAATAATGAAAATTTTTAATAAAAAATCGCGCGATTTTTTATTAAAAATTTTTGCCTGCGATGCTTTTTCCATAAAAATCAATACTTCGATAAATAACGTGTGTTGCGATTGGCCCAATGAACGTGATTTGCGTGCTTTATTCGAATACACCAGGAATGAGTTGTCCAGGGGTCAATCTCAAATGACCAGCATTATGTCTACCATCAGAACCGTTGCACTCCTTGATAAGAGCTTTAAGGTATTTCGACTGAAATAAGTGTGTGTGGAACAACGATACTCACCAATTTTTAAATTGCCACCAACTATACCACATAGTTTCTAGGACAGATGGGAATGATGAATGGGAAAAAGTTCTTAAAATTTATTTCATTCTGCGACTAACCGTTCTGTGAAACGCCAGATCATTGGAGAATTTCAAGAACTTCTTCACGAACATTAGGTTATTAAAGACGACAATGAAAATTTGCCTTCTGGCAACCACCAAACCGTAATATGTATTAGCAGATAAATGTATCACTGGAAATCGTGAACGTGAATTGTTGGTTAAAATGGTTCTACCAAAATATTTTACTAAAAAAAAAATAATTTTGGGCGGGACGAAGTTCGCCGGGTCTGCTAGTAACGAATAAAAACACTCTTTATTTTTATATGGAAGAAAACCGCAACAACGGAAAT